TAGTCTTACACTGCTAAATTAGGGACGGCTAGCGCAGATAGCCCTCGTGTAGCTTTGCGCGAAATTAAAAAACAAAAAAACAAAACAAACAAACATTGTAGAACTAAATAAATGCAGTTAATAATAATGTCATTATTATATCATTGATCACTTCAATAATTTGTTTGTATTTTTAAGATAGTTATAAACAATTGCGTAAATTAGTAGATTAAATTATTTTTGAAGTGTATTTTTGTTTTATAAACTATTATTTGATAAGTTCATCTCATCCAACAAATATTCAAATTACATTTATTTCTCAGTCTAAAAATATCCAATAAATAAACACATAGATTAACCTACTTTGAGATTAATTAAGTTTAAAAACGGCTTAAAGGGGTAATGAAGAATACTTTATTACAATTTTAACACTAACACAAGTGCAACGTTTAGACAAGATTCTGCCATTCTCGGCTACAAAACCTTTTCGACTTTTTTTACACTTGTTACTGTGTTAAAATAAACACCGATTTCTCAGCTTCTACTATAACCTCCTGCAGGACCCTCATATAAATAACTGGAAGAAATGCAAGGATTATAACAGCTTTCAGGATCTAATGTTAGGTTAAACATTAAGCTTAGACCTGATTAAACGAATTAATCTACTAGAAATATCTTTCTTAGCATTCTAAAAACTCAAACCTTGGATTCAACATACAAATTCTATTGATTTTTTTTTACCTCGAATAAGTCCATCTTGAAAAGGATATGTTAATGTACATAGTAATATGTTAATTAAGTTCAGATCTTGTATAGAAAATAAAAAATTATTTACGTTGACATTGTGTAAAAATGTAAAAAGTCGGACCCCGATTTTTGCAACAATTTCATCAAATTTTGTACAAAATGAATACATTTTATTTGAGATACTTAATAACGCTGATATCACTTTATTTATAAGGGTTTAAGAAAACAAGCACGTTTTTTATATAAAAAAAAATAACCTCTAATAACTTGAACCGTTCCTTTAGGCTTGTCTCATACATGTTTCAAGAGAATGGAGCCATTGTATATGTGATAGAGGATTTCTTATCGTCAGTCCAATCTTTTACTGCAAGCAGCTTGGACGTACTTCAGTTTCTCTAACACAGAAACCATATGTTTGCAGTGGTTTAGGCTAGAATAAAAGCTCGTTTCGCAATGTCGTTTTAAAGCAGTAACCTGCTGGACACGGATTTCCAGCATCAAGAGTGTACAATAATAGCTCAAGCTTGGTTTATAACAGCATTTTCCATTGTTCCTGGTTTTTTTTGTTTTTTTTGTAGAAACGCTAAGTGGATCTACAGTTTAAAAAAACCATCAGATTGGGCGAGCGAAGAATAACGTGATCAAATATTATCTTTCTTCTTGTGATGCCTCATCATATATATTATCCGTTTCTTATTAGCGTTCGTGTCTTTTGCATGCTTTCTTTGTTCTGAGTATGTATAATAATGGTGTTGACTAAAAACCATGTATACTTGATTAATTCTTTAAAACCATTAACCTCAATAGAACGACAACTCAATCCGGGGCTATAAACCTGTATTTGTGATTTACTCTCCTACGTAAGCGATATGTTAAATATTACTCCAAGACATTTAAAAAAGGTACTTTACCTATTCTAGCAAAGCATGTGGGAATAAAACCCACATAATACATTTGTTATTGTAATGAACAGATAAGCGGAAAAGTATGTGATACAGTGGCTTTGTACCCTTGATACATTTGTTAATAACTTAAACAAAACATGTTTATTACACTCCAAGCATTGAATACATAAAACTGCATACACATATACAACGTACTTGAAACATTGATTAAATATAAGGTCTGTAATTTAGTATAAAAATTGATTAAATAAACAAAATCCAGATGATGAAGCATTAAGTAAATAAACAAAATCCAGATGATGAAGATGAAGCATTAAATAAATAAACAAAATCCAGATGATGATGATGAAGCATTAAGTAAATAAACAAAATACAGATGATGATGATGAAGCATTAAGTAAATAAACAAAATACAGATGATGAAGATAAAGCATTAAGTAAATAAACAAAATCCAGATGATGAAGATGAAGCATTAAGTAAATAAACAAAATCCAGATGATGATGATGAAGCATTAAGTAAATAAACAAAATACAGATGATGAAGATGAAGCATTAAGTAAATAAACAAAATCCAGATGATGAAGATGAAGCATTAAGTAAATAAACAAAATCCAGATGATGAAGATGAAGCATTAAGTAAATAAACGAAATCCAGATGATGAAGATGAAGCATTAAGTAAATAAATGAAATCCAGATGATGAAGATGAAGCATTAAGTAAATAAACGAAATCCAAATGATGTTTGTGAAGCATTATTTAAATTCACAATGTCTATATGATATAGTTGGGACATTACTTAAATAAAAAACAACAACATATAATTTAGTAGATTATAAGTCAATCAGACTTGCAGTGATTTGTTTCGGTGTATTTATGGTCTCGAAAGTGAAAGAAATTTCGTAGTCTATAATGCCTTATACGTTTATTAAAATATCGGAAAAATGAGACTTAATTCCAGATCTGTTATGAGCCAGTCGTTAATCAACATCCTATGACGTAAGTACAGGTTGTAGGAGAAATTTGATTAAACTGTGAATAAAAAGTAAAATAAACAATATTTAATACAATATTTATTAACATTTGATAAGAATATCGAAGCTATCCATCATTATTTATATCGAACTATAGCACCTGGAAAGATGGCGTGTGTACTATTATTTATTTAGCACGGTAGTAGAGATCGTGATGAAACAAAATGGCGACCATAAAAAGCGCCCATTTAAAACCTTTAAAATGTCTGAATATTAACAATGTCTATTACATGTAAAACTATATAGTAACCCTGATAAAGCCGCAAACGCGAAACGTTGGTTAAAATAAAAAGTTATTTTATAATTATCTAAACCATAAAAATCATCTTTTTTCTAACCTGATATTTTTCAGTGTTTAAACATTTTTCTCCGATTCCTTGATTGTATAGTCAGCGTTCGAAGTCCAGCAGTACGATAATTTTTTTATAAAACGTAGTTTTTTATGTCTTTTTTAATGTCTCTTTTTTCTAGAAATCTTTAAGAAAATAATTTGGTAATTATATATTCACTGTGAATGTTTAAAGAAAATATCTACATTTTATGTTTATACGTGCAACTTTCACTAACAAAGTTGTTAATATCGTTTGTCTCTTCACATCAGGTGTAAAAGGTCTACATATCAACATGATTGTGCGTAAAAGGTCTGCATATCAACATGATTATTTTTGAAAAGGCTACATATCAACATTATTGTGTACAAAAGGTCTACATATCAACATGATTGTGTACAAAAGGTCTACATATCAACATGATTGTGTACAAAAGGTCTACATATCAACATGATTGTGTACAAAAGGTCTACATATCAACATGATTGTGTATAAAAGGTCTACATATCAACATGATTGTGTATAAAAGGTCTACATATCAACATGATTGTGCAACGATTCATCAGTGAACCCCTTAATCGTTTTCTTTTTCTTTTTTACGTGAGATGTTTACGGTAAGTGAAGATGCATTATTGATTTTCGTTAAAATCCATTCAGCCGTTCATATCTCATGTCTTCTCTTCTGTTTCGAACAAATTATGATTTTTTTTCAAAAGAAATGAAAACACAAGTTAACGATGAGTTCATCTGCGCCATTTCCGAAATAAAAGTAAATATTTTATTATATACAACCCAAAAAAGCGTCTTTTGTAGAGCGTTCTCACGACCCTTTAGGGTATAATTGCTCTAATGAAGTGACCATATGCTATATGTCTTCAACATAAACGTCAACAGATGTTTTTTTGTTGTTTTTTTTACTGCGGTTTCTTTTTAAAAATATCTTTTCTATGAATTAAGAACTCAGATCGAGTGAGATTCGAATCCACGTTTCTCTATGCCAAATAGATTCTTTGACCAACAACACAGGCCTGCGAAGGTTTTATTGTCTTGATATGTTTACATGTTCTACAGTAATTCCTGTACGCTGAGTCTGAAAATGATACATTTTTCTCCATTACGTACAGATTTTCCACAAAACGTCATAACGCAATACATAAAAGAAAGACATAACACGTAGTTTTGAGACTAAAAGACGTATATTTCACAAAAAAATCAGGATGAATGAGGAAGCATATTCGTTTGACATCAATATTCTTCTCTTTTCTTCGGTTTATTTTTACTTTTGTTAACAATAAAAAATTTTCATTGTGGTAAACGAAATAATAATTTGATCTAAGTAAGGGTTTTTTTTTTTCTTCCTGATTTATAAAAGTAATTCCTCACGTGTGATAGAAGAAAAAATGAATATTATTTTCGAAATCTGCTTAGTTAAATTATGGAAAATCCGTTATTAAAACCAAAACAACTTTTTTGAAGTTAAAATACACAGGCCTGTGTTATTGAAAAAAATGCATAATACGATGAGCAACTTAACCTAACTTTACCGTTTCTTTTTTTTTGGTTCAAATTATAATTATACTAAACCCAGCACTTCTGCGAAACGGTAGGAATGGATTCTATATTTCCAAAAGCCAACTTACATACAGTTTAAGAATCCGACCACTTTATTTTCTAATGTAAACACACGCAACACAATGACTAGGTAGTAAAAGAAGTATAACACACATCTTGAAACTTAAGGATAACCATAAACCCTATCTGAACTATTGCATTTTAATTTGTCAAGTCAAATTCAACATAAATATATTTATCAGTGCCTCTTTATAATAGATCGATAGGCTTATGTTGTTGTTGTTGTTTTCGCGCTCAATTTACATGCGTATATTGGTAAGGTATGCAATTCTGGTTAGTATTGCCGTGTGTCAAAAATCAAGGGTAACTGTTTGTCTCAATACAAACTTTCAACCAAATCTATAATGAATGAGAGGAAACCTGCACTATTACTCACCTTCGCTGTTTGGTCAAGGTAGCCTGACGTCATGCCCATGAGAGGAACGCCAGTATATCCTGCTATAAGTGCCGGGAAGAAGGACATGGGCCGGTCGACGAAGCTGAGGATTAAGGCGGGGCTGTTTCTCTCTACTGCCTCGCACAAAACACTAACGGTGGTTTGAGTGTTGTTCGGCAGAGTAACCCAGCGGGCCAGAAGTGTCACGTTCTTAGCATCTAGTTTGGTATCGGCCTCTCCTATGGCCCGCCGGAGAACACGGCTGAGCTGTGGAGCCGATGCCGGGGGAAAAGCAGCAAGAAGGGGTAGGACCAGCCCCGTAGCGCGGAAGGCTACGACCAGAAGTACCAGAACATACCAGTAGACCATACTCTTCCCTGGAATGGACAGCATTTATTGGCCGATAGCGGCACCGAAACTCTGCCCGTAGCAGCCCAAGGCACGCTAAACAGGCAAGGGGGACAAAGTGTGCCATCCGGCGAGACCTAGCAACCGTTGCTTGGGGACGGCATCCCAAAGCAGCAATTTGTCAGATAGCACTAGAATGACCCTTGTGTTAAAAAGGAGAATTTTCCTTCATACGACTCGGATCTCACACTCGCAAAAAATGCTGTTATTCACAAACGCATGGTGAACCTTCTGTGGCACATAGAGAGCCCACGCTTTGCTATGTCAGGCTGCTGTCTTATCTGCGCATGTCTTAACGGCCTCCTAGTTGTAATCGATTTGATCGTTGATGTTCACCGAGAAGCTCGCCGAAAGGACTCCTCTAACGTGCCAAGTCGTTAGCCCTTATCATTTATAGTATTAACAACGTTTTAATCAGACCGGAAAAGAGGCGAATACTTATTAGATATTCCGGAAGTTTCTTTGAACCAATCAAAACTTGATTTTTTTTTCTACTTTTTAAAATACTTATGCACATTATATCATGCTGGAAAGACTTAAGCCAAGCTTTATGAATGAAAAGTGATAAGATTTAACCAAACCGAATAACGTAAAAATATTCATACCAAAGCTACTTAAACCTAACTCTGTAAAGACATATATCTGACTATTTGATAACAGTCATTGGTTTTCTCTGGTAAAGCAAACGGAAAAAACATTGTAATACTCTTCAAAACACAAGTATTATTCTGTTTCTTTTTTGGTAGAAATGAATTTAAATAGCTCCTACAACAGCGAAGTCAAAGTATTTGATTAATAAAGACGGCCAGGATAATAAATAAATTCACAAAGGGAGAAAAAAAAGCCCGTATTTCTTTTATTTCAGTTTTTTGAAATATGTTTCAAGAATCCAGCAGGAGATAACCATATGCTCACTGAACGTGTCATCCACAACGCATCCACATGAAGAAAAATGCGTTTTTCTCCTAACAGCCCTCACAAGCCCTCTCAAAATATAAATGTTTCATGAACATTATAAGTGGTAGTTGTAGTCTTATATTACATACACGGCTTACTTTAACTGTTTTTTTTGTTGTTGTTTTTGTAAACATTATGAGCGTTTCTTCATATTTATTCCTAACTATTAAAAAAAAAGAACGAAGAAACATTTTTAAACATGTCCCAACTGCACACCTGTTTTTAGATATTCTATAAATGTCTGTAAATTTCTTTTGTGTGTGTTGTAATCTATACTTAAAATAGTACTGTCTGTTGTATGTCCATGTAACTACGTCGCAGGGTGTAGATGGATCTTCACCAAAATTTGTATGGAGGTCCATTAGGTCCATGCGGGGATACATACAAATTTACAATTTTGCGTTTTGCGGTTTTTACGGGCGTTTTTAAGTTTTTTACCACTCCTTTGCCTCCTGTAGATGGATCTTCACCAAGTTTGGTATGGAGGTTCATTGTGTTTATGGGTAGATACAAAGAAATTTTCTGTTTTGCGGTTTTTATGGTTTAATTAGATGTTTCTCAAATTCAATACACCAACTGTAGAAGATATCCAGTTGACCTTTGAAGGTCAAGGTCACGGAAGCTACAGCGCGGGTCTAATCGAAACCTCATCTACTATATTGTTGTAGTTTGCTATTGTTTGTTTATTTACACGTTTTAACGCTTATTAAACGTTGATTGTTTTTATTTTGTTGGCATTGTGTAGACAAATGGCGTTACCTAAGCACATGATATGATCAAAGTGGCAAACAGTTATCAAAGTGGCAAACAGTTAGTTGACTATCTCTTACAAGTCCGTCCCGCAATCACCTGAAGACACAAAGTCCAAATTCAATCCATATAAAAGACAGCGTTTCCATAGTTTGTTCAGCAAATTTCCTGCCAACTGGTAAGCATAATAATTAAAAATTAATCTACACTTATGCTAAACTTCTGCTAAACATATTAAACATGTCGAAAGTTCCGGGAACTTTAATGCAATGCCCCCTCTTCCCACTGACACAGCGGTATGTCTGCGGACTTTCAACGCTGGAAACCGGGTTTAGATACCCGTAGTTGGCAGAGCACAGATATTCCTTTGTATAGCTTTGTGCTTAACTATTATACAAACAAACATTAATACAATATTTATCTTACGGTATTTTGAGTCCCTGTAATGCTGTTTCCACAGCATAACTTGTTGTGATTCGGTGACATTAATTGAATTACTTAGCTTACACCTACGTTCTCCATACTTGTACAGAATACTGAACAAACTACTTATACAGCATACACGTGTAGCAGGGCTGCACGTGTTTCACATGCATACATAATAAAATTACCAAGTGAATCGCACTTATACAGCATGGCTAAACAACAGCGCAAGATATAAATATCATTTTCTTCTTTAAAAGTTTCCCGAATTTCAAACAAGATTCAAATGGAGAGACAACACTGCGACAAGCGTTCAAAAGTAAAGTATAAACATTCAACTGAAACCGTTTTAACATCAATATAGTTGAGTGCTTGACGTAATCACATAACTAATCATGATCATTCCTTCAGACCAATTAATTTTAACTGTATGACAACAAGCATAATGGTTTCCAAAAAAATAAGTAAGTAAACAGAATAGGGAAGTGACTTTGTAAATATCTGTCACATCGATAATTAATTATTTTTATTGTTGTATCATAAGTCATTAATATATCAATATTTACTGGGTTCACGTTCGTAGTATTCTCAAATGTGTCTTTATATGTTTTTGCATGATTAACTACAAATATCTATTGAACCAAATTTGACAAAGTTTTGAATTATAACGCATGATGATAACCTAAATGCTTTTTATTACAATTGCGTTTATCCTGCGCTAAGGTAGTCCACTGAGTATTGTCAAAGGTAGTCCAATGAGTATTTTTAATTATTTTGACCTTATGCTGTACATAGAGTTTTCAGCGTTGTTAAATTACGATTCATGTTGTTGTTGTTTTTGTAGTAACAGGACGTGAAATATGAATCCTCGGATTCACAGTCTGGCACGCTAACCACCAAGCCACGCCAGACCAAATAATCATTTGCTGAACGTTTCTTCAACACTCTGTAGCAAAACCGAACAGTTTGAACTTTAACTAAAGCATATTTTCAATGAATCAAAATGAACAATATTCTCGTGAAGTCTAAGTATGCAATTAAAGAAATGAACAATATTCTCGTGAAGTCTAAGTATGCAATTAAAGAAATGAACAATATTCTCGTGAAGTCTAAGTATGCAATTAAAGCAATGAACAATATTATCGTGAGGTCCAAGTATGCAATTAAAGAAATGAACAATATTCTCGTGAAGTCTAAGTATGCAATTAAAGAAATGAACAATATTCTCGTGAAGTCCAAGTATGCAATTAAAGAAATGAACAATATTCTCGTGATGTTTAAGTATGCAATTAAAGAAATGAACAATATTCTCGTGATGTTTAAGTATGCAATTAAAGAAATGAACAATATTCTCGTGAAGTCTAAGTATGCAATTAAAGAAATGAACAATATTATCGTGAGGTCCAATATACAATTAATAAAATGAACAATATTATCGTGAAGTCCAAGTATACAATTAACGAAATGAGCAATATTCTCGTGAAGTCTAAGTATGCAATTAGAGAAATGAACAATATGATCGTGAAGTCTAAGTATACAATTAACGAAATGAACAATGTTCTCGTGAGGTCCAAGTATACAATTAAAGAAATGAACAATATTCTCGTGAAGTCTAAGTATGCAATTAAAGAAATGAGCAATATTATCGTGAAGTCTAAGTATGCAATTAAAGAAATGAACAACATTCTCGTGAAGTCCAAGTATACAATTAAAGAAATGAACAATATTCTCGTGAAGTCCAAGTATACAATTAAAGAAATGAGCAATATTATCGTGAAGTCCAAGTATACAATTAAAGAAATGAACAACATTCTCGTGAAGTCCAAGTATACAATTAAAGAAATGAACAATATTATCGTGAAGTCTAAGTATACAATTAAAGAAATGAACAATATTCTCGTAAAGTCTAAGTATGCAATTAAAGAAATGAACAATATTCTCGTAAAGTCTAAGTATGCAATTAAAGAAATGAACAATATTCTCGTAAAATCCAAGTATGCAATTAAAGAAATTAATAATATTCTCGTGAAGTCTAAGTATGCAATTAAAGAAAGGGATAAACACAGTTGTTCACTAACCATAATGAGTAGCCTTATTATCACGTTAGTTATAATTAGTTACTAGTTTTAGTTTTAATAGTCAGTGATTACTATTATTGCTAACCTACTGACGTCTTAAAGGCGACAGTCTCCACTTTCTTAACACGTAACCTTACATCTAACAGGAATTTACACACAGTGAGCAGACAATAGTAAATACTTGAAGAAAGATCAAACCACCTACACAGCTTAAAGAAACGCGTAATAGGCTGCTTTAGTCTCCAGAATGACCAAAGTTTGTAATGCATAAGACTCAAAGAATGAAAAACACATCACTCAACAATACTTTACAATGAATACCTCGAACTCTTGTTAACAAAGACAACAAACAAGACGTACAACAACAATAAAACGTAAGAAATTACAAATACACATTTCTTTATATCAGGTGTTTTGTTATTGTTTTTTTCAGAAAACGTCAAAGGATTTACAAACAATGTAAAGTCAATCATTTTTCTGGGTTACAATACAATACAGAGTGGGTGGATGTAGGTCAAGCCACTTGAATATCCAATCTAATAGATAGCAAAAACAGTATAACCAACACATCTTGTGGATGTGGACTGCGGTATATTCGAAAAATAAAAATGACTGACAAAGATAAGAATTCAGGAATACATTAGACGTACAATGCCAGGTTATGCTGATCGAGTTGCAATAGCCTATCACATCGGAGAAGAAAATCGCTCAATAATACGAAAATAACTGATAATCAAATGTACGCATGAAAAAAAGAGGATTAAATGAGCCAAATACATCATGTTATCTGATATCATTTTCAGCCAATCTAACGTAGGAGTCAGCAAAACTTATATATTCCTCTTGTAAATCAAATCCCGTATGAAATAAAGCCCAGATGAGTGGATAGGATATTACGAATCTCGGCTTCTTCAACCATATACTGTTTTAATAAGGACTTTTCTGAAGAAGTTAAACTAATCATTCAAGAGAATATTAAACATTTAGTAATAACTGGAGCTTAAGTGATGGTATAGGCTATTAACTACGGTAAATAAAAGTTAAACA